AATAGATAATTCGATTCACCCAACTTTCGAATGGTGCTTCTGCAATTTCTACCCCATAACTTATTAAAGACTACATAAATCAAACCACCTGGAGGAGGAGAACAGCTATAGAACTAACCTAAGATGTACTCTCTCTTGTTCTATAAACCTTGGAGTAGCACGTACGGAGGAAGGGTTACCTTAGGCATGCCGTCTTCTAAATATTCAGGTTCTGTTGCTCTGTATAGATTTTGTGATGCTGGATTCATCCTCGCAGCCCAGGGTTTTGAAACCTAAGAGCAGAGTCGTGCAAAGGATTTTAATGCCCTAAGAAAAGCAAAATAAAATAGAGAGAATTAGCCCTTTGCCCCAAATGGGAGTCTATATTTGCAACTTACCCATCTATTGACACAAAGACAAAATCTTCTACAATTTGAATTTTGGCTGGACACTGATGCTCTTCTTACAATCTGTTGACACTGTCTCTCTCTTCTACAGCCACACTCTCTCTCATTCAACTTCTTTCTTTATTTTTTATTATACTTTCTTTGCTTCCACACTTTTTCTTCCAAATATTTTTTCCTTGCGTTAAAAGCCAATTGACACACTAAACAAAACATTGATTAGTTTGATTGCGTTAAAAACCAATTGACACACTAAACAAAGCATTGATTAGTTTGATTGCATCCCATAATGAGAGAAGCAATATTGATGTTTCTTTAAAATCACCGGAAATAATCATTATTGTCGGTTGTTAACATCTACAATATCTGTTAACAGAAGTGTTAGATGTTAATGAATTTATGTACGTGTTAGCTGTTAATAAATATTGTAGATGTTACCAGAGGAATTAAATGTTAACAAATAGATGTACCAAAAGTGGTAACATAGGTGTTAGCTGTTAATAAATATTGTAGATGTTAACAGCTGTGTTAGGTATTAGCCGTTAACAGATAAATATTTTAGAAGTTTTAATTTCTCTATCACATTGAGTAAATCTGAAAATCAAATTTTTTCTTTAAAAATCAAAGTAAATTTAAAATAAATAAAATAATATATTTTCTTTCTACAGCCACTTAGTAACATGGAGAAAAAAAATGAGAAGAGAAGATAGCAAAATAAAGGGAGGTTATTGGCAGAAGAATTCTAAAGAAGTTATTAAATTTTGAGATTCCATTGTTATTGGTTTATAGTTTTTTAAAATCTTAGTAGAATCCATTGTTATTGGGATGATAACTTTTAAATTTCACTCAAAATCTTTGTTATTGGAAAATTTTACAACTCAATGATTTTAAGATTCCATTAAAATCTGTTGTTATTGGAATATAAATTTTCTTTGTTTTTACTCATAAGACTCAACTTTACTCAACTTTAAGAATATCACCTATACTCATAAGATTTTGAAATATATGTAATTAAATAAACCCATATACAAAAATACACAAAACTGAAAATGAAATAATAAAAATCACTACTTTAGCATAATACAAATCACAACAATACACAGAAAACTAATACTAAAAACTTTAAAATTTAAAATAAATTTTATAAAATAGTTTCAAAAAATATTTTTGAGATTTAAAAAAAAAAAAACTAAAAAAACAATTTGAAAAGAAAATTTTGATTTTTTTAATAAAAAGATTGAATTTGAAAAATATATATTTCGAAATTATAAAAGAACATATTTTCATTTTTTTATTTCAAGAACTCTTTTTGGGACATTTGTTTTTTTTTTTTTAAAAAAGAGAATTACCCTAACTGAAGTTATTCTCTTTCTTTTACTCTTACCACCATTAATTTTCTACTTTAAATGTAATAACAATCAATTAAATTCTATACACAAGTAATGAAAATCTATGTAAAATTATTTGATTAAATTTGTTAAATCTAGTTAACTTGTAAAATCCTCTCATCTATTAGAATCATCAAATTCCACAAAAAAATTATATTCCACTAACCTCCCTAAGTCATACAACAAAACTTTCAAAATATTATACTTTTACTTAAAATTCTCAAAATCCTCTCCTCATAGAGGAATACTTTCATAGACTTCTTAAATATGGAAAACTCATTTGAAGTCTTTATAAATTTATCAAATCTATTGATTCTTAAAATTAATCAACTCTATCTAAATTCATCTTCCACTACCCCCCCCCCCCCAATAGAAGAAAGAATGAGAGAGAGAGTGTGCTTTTAAGGAAAATGAAAAAGAAGGACAGATACATCCACATGATCACATACATGTGCATGAAGGACAAAACCGTCATAAAAATAATTAAGTTAAATCATCGGTTAGTTGCAAATATGAGTGTCTATTTGAGATATTTTAGCCAATTATCTCAATAAAATAGTATATATTTTTTTAACAATATTGTCTTATGACAAACTAATATATAAAATCAATTTTTAATAAAATAAAGTCTTGATAGAAGATACAAAAGTATTTTATTATCTTTATGTTTACTTAACAAATATAAAACTGAAACATACAAATTATTCTTTTTTCTTACATAGTTAAAAAAATTAAACTAAACAATATAAAAATTATATAAAGATGAAAAAAATAATTAATATAGTAAAATAGTGATTATATAAAATAAGTGAAAAGAACATGGATTGTGATTTGTTGATCTACGTTGTCTAGTTAAGAAACAATCAAGAAATTTTGTTTATGTTTTTTCAAAAAAAAGTTTGTTTATGTTATGTATAAAAGAAAGAATATAAATGTATGCCCTATAATTTTTTGTTAAAATTATTTAACAGAAGCGAATGTTTCAAATATTATTCAGTACTCACGGCTCTGCCTAAGAGCGTCCTCTTTTCTGTTAGACAATTTCTGAAGATCCGGTGCTACTCCCTTGAATAAATATGTGGAACTAACATCCTTTCCAATCCTTCCAAGTCTTTGTTCCGTCAAAGACGGCCAATGTTTCTTAAGTTATACCTAAGCAGCTTCTCCTCCACCAAATTCAAGAGTAGAGTTCAACAACGTTGGATGAGAAAGAAATTTTATTGATTGAGCCCATGCTCCAAGCCGAGATGAGAGAGTGGTCGCAAAGGTAGCAACATCCAATGTAGTCTTCTGTTCTGAAACCTTTGAAGAAAGCAAAGGAGAGAAAGTCGTACTCTCGTTGGGAGAACAAGCATCATGTTTCTCTACCGATCCGGAACCTCAGCTGAAGCCGAAAGAGAAGCCACAGTTGCTCCTTGAATAGAAACCTCATCTACTGTAATCGGGGAAGATGCATCGAAGTCACCATAGAGAAGCTAGTATTCACCTGAGAAGAGCAAGTAGGCAATGAAAAGTGAGGAGCTGATTGGTACTATCAACTTCGGTCAGAGGTTTCAAATCCATGACAAAGAGCACGAGGGAGTGAAAATTTTAGTATGCTGGGTTCGTTGAGAGGAGACGCGACTGGATCTGGTGCTCGATCGTGGTGTGCGACGCACCGGAGCAGCGTCGAGAAAACTAAAAGCACCGACGAGAGTTGATGGAGGAGAGAGGTTAGAACTTTTTTATTATATTGTTCAGTCTATAGCGTACCATTAAAGTGAGTTTTACTCTATATCCCTTATATACTAAAAGAGAAACATTTTGCATTAAATGTTTTCACACCACCTTCTCATAATTTATTACCTTATTTACTACCTTCTCATAATTTATTACTTTATTTACTACCTTCTCACAATATATTACCTTATTTACTTCAACAATTGTTTACCTTATTTACTTCAATTATAAAACACACGAGATACTTTAAAACTACAAAGTTCAATATCACATGAGACAAGTTCGGAGGCAAGTGAATTGGCTTGAGGGTCGATATCAAAGTTCTGGAACGTCGTTATTAGAGCGGTGGGACGTATCTAAGATGATGGATGTGAAGGGCAACGTACTGGAGCCCATGAACGCGATCTTGGTTTGGACATGGCTCGTGTGTAGCGTGAAGAGATTGAACTCAACCTTGCTAAGTTTGAGGTAGTTAGTGTACTGAGGATAGATCTAAATGGTGAAATGTGTTGTCTTCGAGAGATCCCAAGGCCGTATAGTAGTGGTGCTCTGAAAACTCTATATCTTCACTACGTAGGTTGGTGAGATTGGTTCTGTAGTTTTGGACTTTTGGGCACAAGTTTTTAACGTCGATTTTTGTATCCATAGGCAGAGCTATTGAACAAATTGTCGACATATATATGTGAAAGGTTTAACGGCTCTTGAGATTGGAGATTTCGTTATACAAGTCGAGTATTTGCTTCTCGAAATGAGCCTTTTCACAACCCATATTGAGACTAAAAGGAGATTTGGGATTGTCTCAATACTCTTAATGGTATTGACAGCAATATACTTTCATCTTACATGTTTCCATGTCGTGTGGATGACAAAAAAAACAGATATATGAGACAAAATCGCAATTTAACCAAAAAGACAATATTTATAATATAGATATATAATTGGACGATATTAAAACTCGAAACAACCAATCCAAAACAAACTAATATGCAAATAAAATAGATATAATGTCTTCTTATCTTCAAAAAATACAACAAATTTAATTATCTCATTCCGCGCAAGGCGCGGGTCTAATCCTAGTTTAGCATTTAAAAAAGAAACTAGAGTTTGATCTTAAAAAAAAGAAACTAGAGTATCATTGGAACATGTCTGTCTCCAAGAGTAAGTTGGGCTCTGAGGTGAAATATTTTGGGTCATTTACTGTTAAAGGAAAAATTGAGGCCTTTACGCCTTTTTTTAAAAAATAAAAAATTAGGCCCTAATTCTGATTTAAAATTTTTAAAGTTGTAATGAATTTTGTGCAAATGTTCCCAGGACATGCCCTGCTCAGGGCTGGGCAGGATTGGGAATGCTCTGAGTGCCAAGACTTCAACGTAATAGTCTTCTTGAATCCATGAATTGGACCGGGCTTTGATAACTAACAAAGAAGTTAACGTGAAAGAACTTACACTTTCTCCAAACTTATTCATTCCAAATTCCAAGAATGTTTTTGTGTAATTATTTCTAGTTTACGCTAAGAGATACAACATATGGCTCTAGGATTCTCATCGCTAAACCACATAAACTTCTCTAAATACTTGTCATTATACCCAAGGACCGGCTCATCTCCTAAACCGATCAGTTCCATATCAATCACGAGAACGTTTTCGTCCTTACTAGGTTCTTTATCTTCCTTCGCTACAATCTTCACTCTCTTACCTGTCTTCTTCTTGAGTTTCTTCAACAACTTCTTAGGATCAATCTTTCCCGTGACCAGAACCATGTGATTATTCATATCCGTTGTAAATGTTTCAACACCTATTCATAGATCATTCAAAAGTCAGTAACATATGGATATATGATGAAATATATTAAATTGTAAAAGAGATTACCTTTAAATTTAGAGATAACTCGAGCGACTTTTCTCTCGCATTCGTTGCAGTGCATCGGTACATTGAATTCGACATCCATATACTACAAGAAAATTGAAAAAAAAAAAAATAGAATGAAGTATCTTGTGAGAGAATACAATTGAAAGCAGAGGAATGAATAAAACGATGGTGTAAGTATATATATGATCTTACTCTGACATTATCCTTTTTCTTCTCTTTCGTCATTGGTGAATGGAAGAAGTCCAAACAATAATTTATGTCGGAGAGACAAGATGTCCGTGCGTCAACACTGTATGTACTTTGAATCTTTGATGCAACGGCGGTTAAGATTTGGGAAAGTAGTTATTGCCGGTTATCCAGTTTGGTATTATTATATCTTTGGAGTTGGCGAATAAGAACTTAAACGAATGGAATAGTACTTAACCCCGTCTGAGACGTGAGACAAGACAAAAAGCCTTGTTTGGGAAAATAATATAGCAATCTCTTGTCGGATAACACGAAAACAGTACCAAAAAGCTGTACCAATCCATGAACTGTCTTAACCAGACTCGTTATTGTGTTTGAATCAGGCTTTTTGTTTGAGTCAAACGCTCAGGTACTCCTGCCCGAAAAAAATGATTTGAGATACTTCTGCCCGAAACTGCCCGGACTTGAAATTTAATATATCTTTATTTAAATTCAAAAATTTATCAAAAGACCACGGACCCAACAGAAACTTACATAATTACAACCTAACCAGGGCCATTTCGTGGAGCATCCAGACCCGATCCATAAAATTCTGATTTATTTCTCCATAAGTTCCGAAACCTTTGTAAGACTTAATGTAATCGTAAACTTTGGTGTTACTGTGTAGCGTAATAAAACCTGAATAACTAAATATTGTCTCAGTTACGAAGTTATACTAAATTGAACTAAATCGCACATTTAGGAGTACTCCACATTTAGATTGCAATTTATTATTACGTTATTGTTCGGCCACATGTGTTGTTATTGATATATTTATTGAAGTTCAAATAAAAAAGATTAGTTTATAGATATAACTAGAGTAATTACATAATGTTTATAGATAAAACTAGAGAAATAACTAGAGCATATTGTGAAGAGTAATTTACATAACAACTTAGTAAAACTAGATAAAATTTCTATGTCATAAACACCCAACTAATCTTCAATGGGCCAGGCACGAGCAGTCGAGTGTATGGCATAGCAGAAGTACCAAGCTGCACAATTCCATAAACAACGATCGCATTTCCACCGTAATCTTGATCCATCTAGGGAGACTACAAACATTGAAGGGTCTAGGTTGGAGCACCAGCAATAATGTGGCACATTAGGATCTATCCTTTCAGCCACAGATATAAACATGGGAGGTTTTTCGTTATCCCAATTGCCTGAGATTTCTCAACTAGTGATGATTTGAAACATCTCGTCAACATGTTGACGAGTAAAAGCAGGGTAGTTGTGAACAATTCCTCTACCATCAACGCTAAAGGCTAAGTTCAGCATATCATCTACAAATTGTGCCAACACGCACCCTCTCTCACCAGCACGATGTATTTTTTCCCTTCCTTCATCAAGTATATGGAGGAAGAAGAACTCGTACATACCTCTCAGGTAGATGGCCTCAGGATTACCCAAACGGTAGCATTTAAGCTTGAAAGCTCGAATAGCATTGACCTTGTTTACCCAGTCATTGAAGTAAATGAGATTGGACGATCTATAGAAGTGATCATCTCGTCCAACTTCATTGAACCCGGGAAAAGCAATCCTTGCAGAACCAAAGTTCCGGATACCGGTCTTTATTACTTTAGAGAGAATCTTATGAAGCATTGAAGAAGGTAGAGAAGTCAAGTTCGCGTTCTCCATGTCTAACTCTGATAAAAAACGGTTAATGGTGAGAGAAATCACAATTTTGTAGAAGTGATAAACCCTTAAAATTTAATGAACCACTCACCCTAATCAAAAGAAGTGTGTCCATTTAAGTGTGATTTGATGGACTCCTCGAGAAGACACGACTTCTCTCAGACACGACTTCTCTCACACGCCTTCTGAATATCTACACTCGCATCTCTTGGAACTGTAACTTTGTATAAGATATATAACTATATATAAAGTAAGTGAAACTAAGATATATAACTATATAAGTAAGTGAAAGTAAGTGAGTTAGATTGTTATGAAACTAAGAAAAAATTCAAAATTAATATTGCATAAATTTTTTGAAACTATGTAAAACGTAGGTATAGGATATATTAAATGAAAATGGTAATATTAAGGTTAAAGAAAAACCTGTAATTATGGAGTTGGGTGATTTGATGGACTACTCGAAAGAACACGACTTCTCTCATGAAAATGTCTAGTTTCGAAGTCTCTCTTATAATCTTTACACTTGCATTTAAACGCCACAACACTACACCGTCATTAAGTAGTAGATCATCATAACCATTGCATTTAAACTCCACTTCGAACCCCGAGAAAGCATAACTACTCCAACTTATCTCACACGCTTTCTGACTGCAACAATCGCCTCTCCTGAAATTTAAGATATATATATATTTAAATGTAAGTGAAACTTGGGGAGATCACGGGCTAGATTTATGAAACTAAGAAAAACGTAACAATTTAGATTGTATGAAAATTTGAAACTATACAAAACTTAACGAATTTTTTGATCTTATATCGTTTTATTTTGCAAAAGATGGTCAGTTTCCAAAATGGATAATAGTTAGTGAATATATTTAGAGTTCATATATTTAATGATAGCAACTAGCAGTGTAGGGGATAATAAATGAAAAGGATAATATTAATTTTGAGAAAAAACCTCGTCGAAAGAACACTACTTCTCTTGTGAAGTCTCTTTTATACGCCACATCTCTTGCATTTATAAGAATTCTGCATTTAAAGACTCACCGTTACTCCATCTCCTCTCTCATCTCTTCTCTCATCTCTGCGAATACTCCATCTTTTCTCTCATCTCTCAACAAAGAAGATGGCAGAGTACAATAAGTTTTCCGAGGTTACTTTTAACCCCAAGATCAGGTCTTGGCGTTTTAGAGTGCAACTACACAGGATCTACCCTTACGCGATTACCAACCATGGG